CCTAAGACCTGCCAATTACTCAGAGAAAGAATGCATTTTTGGTTCACGGGCGTTACAATAAATTTTATAGATTATGAAATACCTTAACATGAATATGCCATGTATTTGTGGTGTTCCTTAGATCTGTAACATTAGCTTCTAAAAAATTGACCATTAGAGCATATGAAAAAAAGAGAAGAAGAACTTTTGTAGTTTTTTATGACGGTGAATTGGTGATTGTAACACCGAGAAACTCATGTGGACTTATATAGAATATATTATGACTGCTAGAAAAGAACAAATAATGGCCAAGTGAAATTTAGAGTATCAAATCGTAAGGTATCTACTGAGGATATCCAACACATATACCTAAAGAAAATATTGACAAAATATATTATTTTCTAATTTAAAAAAAAAAAACTTTTGCTTAGATTTTTCGTTGTAATTATGTTGTGTCGTATCTTTAATGTCGATCTTTTTTTGAAAAAATATTTTCTTTTAAAGATATTATAATTTGTTCATGATAGAAATCTTATAGCCATGTATTTATTTTTAGTCGTGTATAATTTCTTAGAGGAAATATGTATATGTTGTATTCAATTCCATTTTCTACCATGAACAAATTATTTAAATCTTGCATGCATATGTAAAATTGATGTCAAAAGAAAATCTTGCATGCATTCGGTCAGTGAAATATGTATCTGGTGAGATTACATGCATATGGAGGATTGATGTCAAAAGAAAAGATTGGTTTGAATCTAGACCATCGTCAAGCGTTCATACTCTTTAATATAGTTCGTTTTTTTTTCATCATCAATTTATTATTCATAAATTGAAATAAAAATCATAAATTAAATCTAGTGTTTTTCAATTAGGAATTCATGTCATCATTTCTCTATAGACATATCATCATTTTTGCAAAGACATGTCATAATTTTTAACCAATCAAATTATAACATTTAAGGAGATTAAATAATTGTACTTCACTTTTAATAGGAAGGAGATTTAGTTGGTTATTTAAATAACATGATTATTCAATTGCCAAATCTATGTAGTTGGAAAATTTTTAAACAAACATATTTATTTTCAAATAATAACATCAATATAGAATCAACCACTTCATATATTTATTTTCATGCATTATAGATAAGAGAAACAACTAATATCATTTTCAGTAAAATATTATTCTTAATTTA